TAAGAAATCAGAGTTTACTCTTAGTGGTTCTTCTTTGTAGGTAACTTCTTTTTTTTCTGGAGGTGCACCTAGTGCAAATCCAACCTCAAAGAGCAGGCACGGTGTAGGGGAGGGTGTCTCCAGACAATGAATGAAGTTTGAGTGCCTGAGGGGTGTGGGGGCTAGCCTTGTTTCTAGTAGGAGTAGGGTGTGGGGAGGATCTCACCTTTCTTGTTGCCAGCGACTAGAGTGGTTTGTCAGTCTGACAGGTCACGTGTCTCCTCTCACTGCCTGTTCAGGTTGTCCTAGTTGATGTTCAGTCCACTTCTCTCTTCTTCCCATCGGATCTGTAGTTGTTTCATCTGGTCTCCAGTTTTTGTTGAAGGTCTGTATTGCTGGAAATGCTCTCCATCCCCATCCATTCTAGCAGCTCTTGTACCGTCAGCACTTGAGCTTTTACACAGAACATGGCTGGAACCTCTCATAGGAAACCGCACCTGTAAGGCTGATGTCCTGGGAAGAGGAGGTGGACAGGGGAACGTTTTCAGTCACTGCGTTTGTTTTTACTACTTTGTGTGAAAACCTGGCCTTTCCTTGCTTCTGGCCTGGGATCACACCCCTCCACACAGCAGAACTGTAGATGCTTTCTGAATCCCAGCCTTCATCTCCTCCCTCAGGTTGTACAGGAGAATGAGAACGTCGTGTTCTGCCTGGAGTGTGCGCTACGCCACGTGGAGAAGCAAAAGTCCTGTCGGGGGCTGAAGCTCATGTACCGCTACGACGAGGTCAGTCCTATGTGCCCACCCAGTGGTGGGGCAGGTGCAGGCTGCGGCCTGGGGGGCTAACCTGAGGGGAAAGTGGCAGAGGAATGGACTAGGTTCAGTGTGTCCTAGAGAAATGCAGGAACTGAAGCCGTTTCTGCTTCCTGTTTACCTGCTGCCTCCTGAGGAGTGCGGGCATCTCCCAGGTTCTACTTCCGTCTCTACAAGGGAGCCATGTCTTGTCTGCCAGGACAGCTGCTGTGCAGGAAGTGGCAGATAGGGGCAGTGCTGGGCACTAGCTTTCTTTCCATTGGAGTTGCTGGACTGGAGAGCTCCCTCTGCGGCCTGACAGCGTCAGTCTGTTGAACTTGTGGTTTCATCAGATGTACCTTCAGTGGTGCGGAGACCAACCCTAGCCCGCTGATGACTGCTCTCTATGCAGCACTGCCGACATGTTGGCCTTGGCTTTGTGGTGGGAACTGTCCCCCCACTGCTCAGGAAAGCTGCAGCTGTCTCAGCTGGCCAGGAGCCCTGGCTGCCAGGCCTTTAATATGTACGAGGGATTTGTTTCAGTTTCTGGAGGGGTGGTTTCCACGACACCCCCAGAGACTGGCTGCTGCCTGGACTCCTTCCCTGCCTTCTCTCCCTCCCACCCTCCACCTGCGGAGGGCACGGGGCACAGCCCTCCCCTGCCTGGCACACGTCTTGCCGTAGGCTCACGTTGTGGCTGTAGTCCTGCAAAGCCATTGACACAAACTGCCCTGGGCCATTTGTGGACTTATCCTAGTAGTTACAATAACTGGACTTGGGAGGGAGTTTTTGCTCAGAAGTTACGTGGTGGGATCAGTGTGTGGTGGCCCAGCTCCGAGAAAGGAAGAGGACCCTACGGTCCCCCAGTCTTCCTTTTCCCACAGGGGTGTGCTCTGAAGGCGGTAGGCCCTCAGGGAAAACATACAGTCCGATACGGCAGCACCTCTGCTAGTTACCTGTGTTACTAGAGTCAACTTTCAACAGATGTGATACATCTGCAGGAATTTTATGACAACTTTGGCCCCAGAGCTCACTCTCTCAGAGGCAGTAAGCCTGTGCCTCGCCTTCTAGGTAGCTATGGGCACTAGGGTTGTTCTTCCTAGTCCGGTGCCCTTCTTCATGATGGACTGCCACCTCCTAGAAACTGTCCTAGGGTCTGCACACGCCGTAAGGCAGACCAGAGCTGCTGGCTGCAGAGCCCACTCGTTCGCCCCCCTCCTCAGCCCAGGGCAGTGACTACACAAAAGCTCTTGTTGCGGTGGGGGCAGAGGGGTCCGGTTGGTGGGTCACACTTGAGAACCAGTCTTTGGCTAAAACTGTAAGACTGGGAAGCTGAAAATAGACCCATTTGCATCTTCTTTGTATTTTTTTTTTGAAGAGTGTTTTGTGAGGGGGCAGTAGTAACCACTTTACAATCCCTGCTCCTCCACTTTAACAGCAGATGTCAGAACGTGGTTAAAAATAAATCCTCGGTGTTGTAGCAAATGCGCCTGAAGCAGCCGCCTGGTCCCTGTCTGAGGTCCCTGCAGAGCGTGGGCTCCTTCATATTCACAGCAGCCCTTGTGTAACTATATAGGTGTTTGGCTGTGGGCAAGACCTTGATCAGCCTGAAGCTCAGTCAGTGGTTTTGATGAGGAAGACAGAGCTGCTGCTGGGTTTTAACTGCTGACCGTCTGGTTCGCAGTCTAGTGTTGATCCTACAGCGTCACACCAGGAGTCCAGCAGCATGATTTAGTCCATGAAAACCCACATTCCCTGGTGGGTGGGTTTCAGAAAGGGTCACAAAGCCAAGTCTGGTGAGATCAGGAGTAGCATCCAACCACTCCAGGGTGAATAGCATGAGGTGCTCCAGTGCCCAGTCCTGTGGGGTTGGCTTTTCTGACAGATGGCAGCGGGGCTTCCACCCTGGTAACGCAGAGTCCCTTTCCCCTCCATCAAACAGGAGCAGATCATCAGCCTGGTCAATCAGATCTGCGGCAAAGTGTCTGGTAAGAACGGCAGCATTGAGAACTGTCTCAGTAAACCCACACCAAAAAGAGGGCCCCGCAAGCGAGCCACCGTGGACGTGCTACCATCCCGGCTTTCCTCCAGCTCCTCCAAAAGTGCTTCGAGCTCGTCATGAAGATGCCAACTCCCTGTCCATTTATATATATTTTTTGTAATTATTATATTCTAGTTTGAAGTACTTGCTGTAGGATACAAAGCTGTCTTTGCACTAGCTCTAAAGAAGATTTTTCTTCTGGTTTTAGAGAACTAATTTTGTTTTAGCATTAAAACTGTTGAACTTTTTTTTTTGTATTTAGAATACCTAGATACTGCAGTCGGATTTTGGAACTGCCGTAGACTCACTGTTTTCAAACCCGTGAGGGGCTCTGTTAATTTGTATTGCCTCTGTGGCTGACAAAATCCTTTTTTTGTTTTGTTTGGTTTGGTTTCTTTTGTTTTTTGTTTTGTTTTGTTTTTTTTTTTTTGTAATTGTTGGGGGACAAAAAGGCTTTTTTAACCCATTTTTGAAGAGGGTGAAGTTTGGAGAACAAATTAAAAACTACCAGTCATGTGAGCAGATTTTTCTAGCAAGGAAAAGGGATAGGAGGGCGACTCACACACAAACTTGAAACGAGAAATGGCTTTACTTTGGCTGTCTTTTCTTCTGTCACGTGCAAGATGAGTTTGTAGTTTTTAAAACCGGAGAACCCCCAATTTTGTGTCTCTGGGCGGTTGTGGCAGCTGAAGGCGGACGTTGTTTGCTGACTGTGGGCAAGACAAGGAGAGTCACCTGACCAGGTTCTCTTCCCCAGCACATCACTATGCATCTGTTTAAGGGAAAAGGAGAGAAAAGAAGAAAAAAAAGACTGCCTGCCTTGGGGTGGGGGGGTCACGTGAGGGAAAACTGTGCCTGATTTCATTAGGAAATCCATTCTGTTATTTTTTGGTGCTGTTGGCTAACTTTATCAAAAACCCTTCAATAGCATCCTTAGGAGAGAAAGGGATAAAGTGATAGAGGCCTCCGCGTGTGCTTCTCCGTCTAGATGTGCAATCTTTCCAACATTCCATCCTCATCTCACTGCTGTTGTCTCTGCATCCATCCCTTTTCTGGGTTGTGTTTTGTTCTACGGTCACATATAGAGCCACTAGGAGGCCTGCCGTTCTGTTTGAATGTGAAAATGCATTTGCGCTCATCTTGTCTGTTTTGTTTTTTTTTTTCTCTCCATGTTGTAACAAAAAAAAAAAACAAAAAAGAAAAAAAAATTCCCTCTCTTTTGTATATATGCCTGTAAATTGTTTTAAATACTTGAGCCTTTTTCTTGGTAGGGGTGGGGAGGGGAGGAAAGATGAGATGAAGAAGAGCCTTACATTTCTGTTTCTTCATCGGTGGACTGGATGCTTACAGGGTTTTTCTTGTAACATTTTAAGTGCTGCTTACATCACGGAACAACAACAATAATAATGGAGTAGCTGTTGCCCTTCTCCGGTTGTGTGTACAGTATGTGTGGAATAAAAAAGGGAAAATGTTTTCACAAACTGTTCTTTGTTTCATAATTGAACCCATCAGTCCCGTGGCTCCCAGGCTGCGCTGGCCGGTAGTGATGTCAGGAGAAGTCCTATGATGCGTATGCTTTGTTGATTGTTGTTGCAGAAGACTGAACTGTTGGATATTTAACAATGACATGAACAGAGTCAAGTGTTTTCCAATGTGCTTGTCCGGTTCTTATGGCCTTGCTGTATACTTTCCCTCTTTTGGACAGTAAACTTCTGCCTCTGGCTTACAGTTTGACGTTTAATTTATTAGCGCTGCTCTGCACTGTTCCCTTGTAAGGGGGGACTTCATGTTGTTTATTGCCAGTTTTTTGTTTACTTTCCAGGTTTGTACTACAAGGTTTAATAATAAAAGCAAAGTTTTTTGGACATTTGTCTGTCTTGTGGAAGGTGAGTGAATGAAATGAACCTTCGTGGCCTTAGTGTGAGGGCAGACCCAGCAGGAGTAAGTGGCAGGCCCGGCCCTCACTGCCCTCAGTCTCCACCAATGGATGGCCTTCCTTTATAGGACAAACTGGCATTACTCTGATTTCAATGCTTACAGTCCTCTAACTTTATTGTCAGCTGTACTTTAGTCTCTCACACATGTACTTTAGTCTCTTACACATGAAAGTCAGGAGCCTCCCTCAAACAGCCTGTACAGGTGGACAGACATCTGCATACCTGGTCTCATGTGATCAGGAGAGCCTGGATTTAGGAATCACTGTCATCAGTGACATCTGAGGGGGCCTGTGCCACGCTGCTGAAGGCGGCCAGGGCCGTGTCCACCTGGACCTCCTCCTCGTCGGACTGCACCAGGGGCGACTCCCCACCTTCACTGGGGTCCCGGGGGTCCGGTTCAGAGCAGGGGGAGGACAGTGAAGGCAGCCTGGCTCGGAATTCTGAGGGGTTTGGAACCTGAAGAGTAATTTCATTCGAACTGGATTGGATTCGATTGGATTCTGGTCCTGTAAAAGACAAAGTGGGGGGGAAAATGGGTCATAGAATTTTAATTTAGAATTGCCACACAAAACCCAGAATAAAAAAAAAAGGGGTCTGCTGAGCTAGGCTGCTCCTCAGTCAGGAAATGTTTCCAGGTGATATCGCCCCAGGCAGATGTGACAATACAGGTGGAGCCAGCGTATGTCCTTTAAAAGGTGCGTAACCACAACACACTGGCTAAACGCCACAGGACATGGCCGCATGTCTTTGTGGGGCATCCCAGGACCTTGATTAATCTAGATTTTTTCATATCTTTCCAAGTAAATTTCAGAGACAACTAGGCAGAAGACAACAAGAGTCACTGCCCTTTTAGCAGTAAGCTTCTCCTGTGCGGGTCAGAGAGCTGTGGCCACATCCAAGGTTCAGGACTTGTTGGGAGCAGACGGCAAGCACACCATCACCCTTCAGAGTTTAACAGTTGAGGAAAGTGGAATTCCTACAGATGGAGATGTGTCCATGCCCCTCAGTGCCATCTGCATTTAGGGTGCACTCTCTCGGCCAGCCTTATTCTCTGACTCTAGTGTGTGGAAGGCACATCAAGCGTTCTCCCAGAAATCTGAGATTTAGCGAGCCCACGTACACATCTGACGCTTGTAAGGGTGTGATGATGATATTCTGTTTTGTGAAACCAAGTCTGGGGATGAGATTAAATTTTCAAAATGCAGTCCAAGTCCTGAACACCTTGGCCTTTCCCACATCAGATGCTCAGATACATAGCCACTGAATCAAGATGGGAGGCTGACTCAGGGTTACTCCAAGCACCCCCTGGGGCCCCTCACAGGAGAGACTCTTCTACCAACATGGATTTAGGACGAGGTGCTTTCTGAGGGTGCTCGAGTGGAGCATTTAAAATTCATGACTGGAGCAAACCCACGGTGCTTTGCCTCACTGCTGCCAAGTCAAACACAGCTATGTGGACTCAGGTGTGCACAGACAATGTGGGCTTGCAGAAGAGGCTGCCTGTGGGCTTACCTGGTACCTGGTCCCATGTACATAGGTATTTTGTTATCTGTGGAGGGAAATCCTGCGTCACATGCTCATGTGTACCAGAGTTTGTCAGCCCTACCTAACGTGGGGGACAGCACGGTGCTCTCTTCTCCACCAGAGCTCAGGAAGACGTCCAGGGCCTCCTGGTCAGCGATGTCCATTAAGTCCATCTGCTCCAACATGTCCACGTTCACCTCCATGGATGACATGCTGCCCATGGGCTCTGGGAGAGGTCAGGAGGAAATACATGTTTTAGTTAAATAATACTCTGAAAGGGGAACTTAACCCTTTTGGGATCCCTGGAACACACAGTGCCCACTTCTATTTCTACCTCTGGAGGTTTGTGGGGGGCTACTGTGCTACCTACCACTAGTGCATGCTGCCATGTGGTGGAGGCCTGGATAACTGAATTCAAAGGAATTGACCTCGTACGACCAATCCCAGCACAGGACTCCTGGGAACACATGTGTCCCACTAATTAACTATTAAAATCTGCAGTACTTTTGTGTGTGTGTTTAACTCAAAGTGCCATTATTGGAAACACATGGTTTCAACTAAAAAGTCAATGCAGAAGTAGACAGCAACAAGAAGAAAATGCGCCACAGTAAAATGTCCAAGTGTCAGATCCATAGGTCTGGTCTTACATATTGCCTGGCAGGTGTCAACTCAGAGTGACACACAAAAGAAATGCTGTCTCTTGACAGCAACATAGAGTTCGCGACCTCTCCACCCACACATGGCTCTGCTTTCTGCTTATAGCTGCCCTGTCATTCCAGATACCTGACTGTATCTTTTAAGAGGCAAATTAAAAATGACATTTTGGCTGTCCTTGTGCCATTTCTTGAGCCCGATAATTTAAGCTTTGCACTATAGAGTCTACAAGTTGGGGAGGAGGATTTGAGGAGCCCAGAGCTTCCTGCAGTGAGCACAGCCTGGGGACGAAAAGCTGGCCTGCCAGCCCCCAGGAGATGAAGGTGATGGGGTGAGGGACATCTCACAGGACTCAACAGTTCAGAAAACCACAAGCTAGCTCCCCTCAGTCAACCCAGGCATGACGCAAACCATTTCCACAAGCTGGAAGGCCTCACAGGAATATGAATTCACAATACAAAGTCCAGGCAAACCTAGAGTTTATGGTGCACATTTGGAGATAAATCACTACAAGTGATGGTCAAACACAGGATTGGCATCCTTCCTGAGAACTTTCAGACAACAGCTTAAAGAAATGAACAAACTTTCAAGAGCCAGAAAGGCCAGGACCTTGAAAAACAACCAAATATCTTTTGGTAAGTGCTGTCGAGTTGATCTACTCCTAGTGCCCGAGTGACACAGCTGGTGGGTTTGAACCAGCGGCCTTGAGGTTAACAGTCCAGTGCTGTTCCTACAGCAACACATCAGGACTCTAAATAATCTCTAAATAGGAAAAAATATATTTAAGATGTCAGGAAGAAACTAAATTGAATATGACCAGTTGCCACTGAGTCCAGCAATGGCAGCCCAGATGTGTCAGAGTAAAGACTTGGGATTTTCTGGAAATAAATCACTAAGCCTTTCCAAGGAAACTGAAGATGAGGCGAAGACAACAAAACCAAACAGGGAAAACATTAACGAGCAATACAAAACCCAGCATGTTTCAACTGGAAAGAATCAGTACCATTGTGGCACTGCAGGGTAGGGCACTGGACTGCAAAGTCAGTGGTTTGAGGTCACCAGCTGCTCCTTGGAAACCGTATAACAGGGTTGCTATGGGTCTGAAAGCAACTCTGCAGCATGTAACAGCAGCAATAATTTCCTGGGATTGATGATGATCTGGAGGCCCTATATTTAGGAACTACACTGTTGTTGGTTCAAACTCACCAGCTGCTCCTCAAAATCCCTATAAAAGATCAGTATGAGTCAGAACTGACAGACAGGACAGAGGAGGATCATTAGACCGACCGACAACGTCTCTACAAGAATAGAAAGCGGAAAGTGGCCCAAGTTCAATACACATATACAAGTGCCGTCGAATTAATTCCAACTCATAGCGGCCCCGTATAGGGTTACTGTGGTGAGGCTGTTAAATCTTTAGGAGCAGAAAGCCTCATCTACAAACCATCTTTAAAACTGCATGTTTTTGTTGTTAAGTCCTGTGGACTCGGTTCCAACTGATAGAGTGACCCTGCACAGGGTTTCTGAGGGTGTAAATCTTTACGGAAGGAGAACACGCCTCATCTGTCTTCCACGGAACCGCTGGTAGTTTCGAACTGCTGACCTTGAGGGTAGCAGCCCGATTCGTAACCACTACAGTCGCTACCAGAGCTCCTTTAAAACTGCATACCCAGTGGAAAATCTCAAGACCAAGGGTAAGTAAGCCACAGGCTCAGACAAAAAGCACTTGCCGTGAACCTGCTCTCACTGAGCAGTTGCAGTGGATTCTAATGCCTCATGTCTGGCAGGGAAGAACTGTGTGCCATAAGGGTTTGGGGGTGTTTTGGAACTGTTGCTAGAAGTAAGATGGTAAAGGAATACCAGAGAATATTCAAAGATCAAAAAAGCATTATCAGACAATAGTGAATAACTGTTATTAGGACTGATTTGTGAGGACTGGAAATGTAAAGGTAGGCGTTTTATAGCAAGGAGGAGAGTGATTAACTTTGCAGTCTAGGAGCGGAGGTCCCTGGGACCATTAATGGAGAAGAGCAGAGAGCGGGACCCTACCACCCAGAGAAGCAGTGATGCCAGAGATGGAGGCAGAGAAGATGATGTGGAGAGATGGAGCTGCTGGGGACTTTAGACACAGAAAGGGAGAGGGGGATTTTGCTGACTTTAGACCCAAAGAGGGGAAGGGGTTGTGTGCTGAGGACTGGAGGTCAGGCTTGCAGGGTGTACTCTTTGGTTGGTTGATGATGCATGGAGGGGACTGTAACCATGGCAACCATGAACCGATAGGATGGATGTAAAGCTAATTAATGTTCTCCCATGTAAACTATCACATAATTCACAATAAAAAAAAGCATTGTCAGGAGGAGAGTTAGGTATTTGTGTGTAAATCTAGAGCTCTTGATGAAATAATCAAAATAAAATCTAATTTGGGAAGTTAATGGGGCAGAATTAAAACAGCAAGAAAACTGTAAGACGGGAGAAGAGGTGTATGATTAGAGCTGCAGCAGGGGAAGACCCTGTTTTACTGGAAGAAACTTGTGATATGCTATCGAGTTGGTTCTGACTCACAGCAAACTTGTATAGGGTTTACTGAGGAGCGCCTGGTGAATGCCCACTAGACAGTTCAAACTGACCTTACGGTTGAGTGCTCATCCTACACTGACTCGTCCCACTAGACCCCAGACCTCATTTTTTGGCAATAACACAGAAGGCAATGTAGCCAGGCCAATCAGAGCCTGCTCCCTACTAGGCTGGGCCAGGCAGTTCACACCAATGTCATGGAGCTGATTCATAGCCTGTTCGCTCCTGAGGCCACAAGTAACATAAGTCCATGGCCCTAGGACTCTGGTCAAACTTCTTCCTCGCATGCTGCGGGGTGCTGGGTGGCTGGGCTGCCTGAAGGTGACCACCACGAGGGCTTGCTTTGTCTATCATGACCTCTCAGCCCGGATTTGTTTATGGCCTTTGCTTAGACTTCGGTTTTAGAACAGGAAGGTGTATTTTGGTGTTTTTTTTGTGTTTTTTTTTTTTTAATCAGCCTGTGCCACATCTTTAAAAGACAGGAATATAACTTTTAAAACAGATGAGAAAAATTGGACTGAAAAGGATGGGAAAAGCTTTTAGGAAAACAGCACCAAGTAAGACAGTATGAAGCCAACTATTCCACGGTAACCACAGTAAACTGAAATGAACAATACGTGCTAGTAAAAGGAGATATATCTCAATGTAAATAGTAAAATCCAGCAGCATTCTGTTTACAGGCAATACTCCTAAAACGTAAGCAAAAGCTAAGAAAGAAAACAAAATGGGCAAACCAATATTAACTTCTAGAACAAAGACAATTAGCTCTATTAATATAAACATTGATTTTGCAAGGGCACAAAAGTGACAGTAATTAAAGTACTTAGTAATGACTTCTTTAAAATGTTTAGTGCACCAGGAAGGAAATTTTAAGTTTTTTTGGTTAAGTATTTTGTGCTATATTTTTAAAGGAAAAATGGTAGCATGAGAATAAAAAACAGATCAAGTCTGGAATTGTGGCTGAGGGAGCATTCAGACACCTCTTCAGTAAGTGGTCATTGTTGTGTTACGTGTCCTGGGGTCAGTCCCGATGCACAGCTTCACTACTGTCACTCTGTCAGTCCATCTCCTTGGGGTCTTGTTTGCTGGCCCTCAACTTTACCAAGCATGATGTCCTTCTCCAAGGTCTGGTCCCTCCTGATAACATGTCCAAAGTTATGAAGTGAGATATGAAGTGTCAACATCTTGGCATCTTATGGAGCAGCTGGCTATACTTCTTCCAAAACAGATGTATGTTTCTCTGGAAGTCCATGGTACTTTTAATCTTCTCCAACACTAATAATCCAAATTCTTCTATGGTCTTGCTTATTCACTATCCAAGTTTCACATGCATATGAGGCTATTGAAAATATCATGGCTTGGATCAGGCACACCTTAGTTCTCAAATTGATATCTTTGCTTTTGAATACTTTTAAAGTGTTCAGTTTAAAGAGGTCATGTGCAGCAGATTTGCCTAAGGCAATACATCACTTGATTTCTTGACTACCGCTTCCATGAAAGTTGACTGTGGATGCAAGCAAAATGAAGTCTTCGACAACTTCAATCTTTTCTCTACTTATTATGGTATTATTTATTGGTCCAGTTATGAGATTTCTTGTTTTCGTTATACTGAAGGCTGTAGTCTTTGATTTCATCGGTATTTTAAGTCCCTTTGTTTCCAGCAAGTAAGGTTGTATCATCTGCATGTCGCAGGTTGTTACTGAGTCTTCCTTGAATCCTGATGCCATGTCCTTCATATGATCCAGCTTCTCGGATTACTTGCTCACTGTACAGACTGATGCAGTGTGGTGAACGAATACAACCCAAACACATACCTTTCCTGGTTTCAAAACCATTCAGTATTCCTGTGTTCTGTTATAACAACTGCCTTTTGGGTCTGTGTACAGATTCCTAATGAGCACAGTGAAGTGTTCTGGAATACCAATTCTTTGCAAACATTGTCCATAGTTTGTCATGGTCCACGTAGACAAAAACCTTTGCATAGTCAATGAAGCACACGTGATCATCTTTCTGGTATTCTCTGCTTTTAGCCATATGATGTCAGCATTGATATTCCTCGTTTCATATCCGCTTCTGAATCCAGCTTGAACGTCTGAAGTTCCCTGTTGATATACTGTTAAAACTATCACAATTTTACTTTTATTTGATATTATACTGTCTGCTGATTGCCGCATTCCATTGGGTCGCCTCTCTTTGGAATGGATACAGACATGGATTTCTTCCAAGCTGTCCTCCAAATTCCTTGGTATAGATGAGTGAGTGCCTCCAGTGCTACCTCCGTCGGTTGAAAGCTTTCAGTTTGTTTTCAGTCAATTCCGGAGCCTTGTTTTTCCCTCGTCACTTAGAATCTTGTTCTCAAGTATGCATGAGACATAGTGTCTTTTTAACAGGCCATGGAGTCTCATCAAAAATATTAAGTCTTCAACCACAATGAAATTTAATTAAATACCAGAAATAAAATAAAGTCAATCAGAAAAACCTCCATACATATAGTTATCTAAAACATAGTTCTAAACTGTTCACAAGTTTTAATGACAAAAATTTAAATAGAAACTAATACATAATCAAAATGTTAAAATTCAGCTAAAGTCACATTCTTGTGAGAATGTTATAGCTCCTTTTCAGGTAGGTAAGAAAGCCAGAAATCAAACCAAAAAACTCACATTAGGAAAAAATAGCAAATGCCCAACTAAAGAGAAGAAATGAATGAAACAGCAAATAATGATGTAGTAACATGATAAATCAAAGTTCTCTGAGGGGGAAAATCCTTTTTAAATGGGCATATTTTGGGTAAGACATCAAGAAAAGGCAAAAGCTAAGAGAGCCACAAATTGGTACAGATTTAAAAGAACACGATGGACATGATGCTAGTATCTTTGAAAATAAGATAAAATGGAAAAATTCCACACAAAGTTTATCAAAATTATTCCAAAATTAAATAGAAAAACTTCTTTACCCATACAGAAAAAGAATACGTAGTTGTTTCTATAAAGAAATCACTGGCCCCAAACATCTTAATAGAAAACCTCTTCCCAATATTCAAGAACACATGATGACCCAGCCGGTCAACTCCCTCCCTGCCTTCTTCGGATGGCGGCTGTTTATGCTGGACGTGTGGCCAGAGACTGGTAAGGATCACGTGAAACCTCGGCAATCTAAGACAGAGCCA